TTTGACAACTGAATCACAATCAGGAGGTCAAAATTATAAAGAAAACATGTCTCGAACGTAAATATCGGATCAGGTTTAGTTTTCGCAAATTTTCACCAAAATGTCATTTTGAAAAAGTGGTCTTTGCTTAGGCCCCTCTGAAAATAATGGAAGTTTGTTGCTTGTCGCTTGTTCAGAATTATTCAAGGAACAATCTTTTACCATCTTATTTTCTTGTTCTTAAAAAGACTGAGTATATTCCCTACCAAAAAGTCTTCAATGTACTCTTTTGGAAAAAAAATCATATTTTCGTTGCTAAGATACCAATTCGAAAAATTTGAAAAACGTTTCAAGGTAACACATAATACTTCATTATTTCAAAGTAAAAACGAAAAAAAAATTATTGTTTTACAAACGGGGCTTGGATGAAGTTATTGAAATTTTTCACCGTTTTACATATCACCCTGTAGAAAATTTACTTGAAAAACCGTGTGTTTAATATCTATAGAATGAATTGCCAGAGGATGGGGTTAGCAGACATCACAGACCAAAATAAAATCGTTCAAGAAACAAAAAAGTTATGTCGTTTTAAAAAAGGACGAACTTTTTGGTCGCGACACATTGAGTGGTGCGCAGTTTATAATAAACATCAAATCCTTTGGCGTTTTTCGATCTGACCCTTAATTGGTTATTAATTAAATAAAGAAGCCAATCAAAGCCCTGCTTTAGCAGAATGATTGAAGGTGCCAGAACTGCTGATAACATATTTGAAGACTATATTGCACAATTGAAGAAAGTAAATGTATTTCATAATACTTAAACTTAAACACATTACATTTTTGAACACTGAAATCGAAAATTAAATTGGAATTAAAAAGCTGTCCTGAACTGTCAACAATTATCCTCCTCTAAACTATTAGTTCGCATTATAACAGATTTTTTAGATATCCGGAAACTCACAATTTATTAAACAGTCAGTTTTTCATCTATACATCTCATAGTCTATAGTCTAATTTAGGTTTAAATCAAATAAATTAATTGTATAAATTGTATTTCAAATATTATTAATGATATTGTTTAGCCATATCCCTAGGTTCTTAATAAATGTCGGCATTGGAAACTTATTGTACTTTCGGCAAATAATAAACGCACACATGATTCTTTGAGGTTGATTTGGGTTAAGTATGTATTATAACACAGTTCAACACGATTTTCCTCCCATGAAAAATTTTAACAGATTTTAAAAATAAAGGTTAAAAAAACGTACCCATGTCACACCGTTTCACGAAATCACGTCATTTAAATTTCTCTATTTTGTTATATAATTTTTTTTCTTCAAATATTGTTTTTATATAATACAAAAATTATACATAAAAAATAATAATTCAATTTTTTTTTAAATAAAACAGATTTGAAGTTATCTTGTATTCAATATATGTTGAAAACAAATTCTGTTTTTTTATTGGCGATTATACATTATTATATAGTATAATTTTAGTTAGTTTTCGTGTGTACGTTAAAACTTTACATTTTGAAATATTTAATTTTAGACTATTTTGTTTACACCACCCTGTCAGGGACACAGATTCAAGATTGGATTGCAGACAAATACAATCTGATAAGGACTTAACTGATGTATAAATTTTAAGGTCATCTGCGAATAACAGTTTAAAGCATCCAATAAAATTAGGCAGGTCATTTATAAAAATTAAAAATAACAAAGGTCCCATATTAGACCCTTGTGGAACTCCTGAAGTAGCAACAAATGTATTAGATTGATAATTATTTATTTTAACAAATAACACTCGATTTAATAGGTAGCTTTCAAACAGCTGTACAAGATCCTCATCAAAATTAAAGTTAAATAATTTTTTTAAAAGAACACCATGGTCTATTTGATCAAATGCTTTCTGGATGTCTGTGTATATTACATCGACTTGCCCGCGATTATCGAGTTCATCAGCTAGGTATTGTGCAATTATGGCCAAGTTCGACATAGTGGAACGTTTTTCTACAAATCCATGTTGATATTGGGAAAAATCATTACTTATTTGACAATAAATCTTTTTATATAAAATACATTCCAGTACTTTAATAAAATTACACAGAATAGATATTGGTCTGTAGTTTTTCATGTCACTTGGGTCACCACTTTTTAGTACAGGACATACTCTTGATATTTTCCATATTTTAGGAACTTTTTTACTTTTTAGTATTAAGTTAAAAATAATACTTAATGGTTTCGTTAAAACACTAGAGCAGTCTTTCACCAAAAAGCTGGGTATCTTATCGTAACCGGCAGTCATTTTATTGTTTAATTTCTTAATTGCAATAGATATATCTTTCTCAGAAATACATTTGACATTGACATTTTGTACAGTAGTTTTTAAGTTGTGATCATTTATATAATTGAATGTATTGGATTTAGTATATACACTGGCAAAGTAGTTAGCAAACATATTAACTATACTTTCAGGTATATCATAAGCAATATTATCATGATGCATTATTCCTGGTATACGTGAAGTGCCTTTTTATTCTGAACAAATTGCCAAAATTGTGATGAATCTGTTTTAATATTATTTTGAACATCCTGAAGATAGCTCTTATGTGCTTTTTTAGTTGCTTAGTTTGCCTTCTTAAGTCTGAATATTTATTGTAGTAAATTTGACTATTTAGTTTGAGAATGAGTTTCACCTACACTTTTATTGTGTTTTGATTTTTCATAATTAAGTAGATATTACAGCTCAGCTTCCAGATTTTTAACCGCAATTAATTATTTTTTACAATGATTTAAAAGTATAAAACTATCCTCCGTGACTGTTACTCTTTCTAGGTTAACCTATATGTTTTCAAATATCTGAGGTAGTAAAAACATACTAAAAATATCAGTTCACTAAGTAAATTTAACACATCCAAAGCAATCAAATCAAATATAAAATATTATTAATTAAAAATTAAAAGAAATCATTTTTATAACCATTTATGTAGGTGTTACAAAAATTGATTCTATCCTCCGTGAATCTGTTTTTGCTTTAAATTTTATGCAACGGATGGCGCTTTAATCATTTTAAATAAGCAAAAACCTCTGTTTACGACATTATAGATGCATGTGATTCCTGAAGGTCAGTTAGAATTTATATGAAGATGAGAGTGTTGCTGTTTAATAATTCAAAAGTTTAAGTTCATTAATTTGATATTTAAAAACATATCCACCGTGAAGTATAATATCTCAGTAAGTAGATTTTTGTATAAATATTTTATGTATGTAAAATTGTATTTTTAAAAAATGTTAAGGTGTCAAAAGATACAATAACTTATTTCAAATGTACAAAGGGATGTTTTAAAATAAACATACGAAATCCTAACCTCCGTGAAGCTATCTTCCGTGATGTATGATTTCTTAAAATTCTTGCATTGTTGCAGAACCACTTATGTTATGTTATTACTAAACCTGGTGGCTTCCCAAAACCCCATTCTTGACTAACATTGAAACAACCAAAAATAAAAAATAATCCTTTTCACTTGGGGGACACCTCAATATATTCACCCAGGTCATTTAATTTGGTCATTATGCATACAGACTCTGTATTACAGAGCCATATATTTTTTACAGCGGAAATGCAGTTTCCTGATATGACAATTAATAGATAAGTTCACATAAAAATTGTTTCTTCAAAAATTTTAAAATTTGAAAATATTTATATTTAAATGCATGCACTTAGTAAAATTGAACTTACTGTATAATAGGGGGCTTCAGATATTTCCCCCTAAAAGTTCCAAGTCAACAATTAATACAGCAAAAAAGAATAAATAAGCACCATCCAAATTTTTGCCTTAATATATCTGTTAATTTTAAATTTGGAATGTATTTTTAGATGGTTCTTACTGTTCTATTTTTCTGAATTTTTTTAAATAAGTACAGAATTATAGATAAGGGTGTTTTATAAGAAATCGTCAAATATTTATTGTATAGGTAAACTCAAAATGTAATAAAATGGATAATGCTATACAATTTCTAGTACGATTTCTCATAAGGCACGCAAAATGGGGTAGTTAAATTTTTTTTGACCTATACTTTTTATGGTTTTATTCAAGGCGTTTTGTAATATTAAACATTTCTGTGAAATCTGAATTTCAATTGAGTATACCGTTTTTGAGATATTTACAAAAAATATAAATTTTTATGACGTCACAAACCTCGCCATGTGACCAACATTCTAAGATTTCTATTGGTTGAAAATTACCCTGTTGTCAAGTTGTCTTGTTAATGATTTCATTTGGTTATGTCAGGAAATACCCGAAGAGGTTATGTACAAATACTGTCACTGTCAGTTGAGTGAAAGATGGTCACCAAATTCATTAAGTACCTATCTTCCTTATTACGAGGTATCATATTACTGTTTGATATTTTAGAGTCCAAGATATATCTAAAAGAATATAAAGAACTAGGCATTATACTAATGAAATGCATTTACGACAAAATATGATTATAATTATAGGTACTTACTTTATTTGTTTAAAAGCTCCAATGTTCAATGTAACCAACCATTCCACAAGATTCCTCTGCTTTGGAGTCCGTTATTAATAAATCACTTATCTAATATCAATTACAAATTACATAACAATAACATTGATTTTCAACAATCTAAATTTAAAAGAAACATAACCCGAAAAAAAGAAACGTCAAAAAATCAATTCTTCTTCTTCTTCTTCTCAACTAAAATTATAGATCAAGTGGTTTTAAAACTAAAATATTATAACGTGGCGCCATCTATCGTAAGAATCTTAAACTAAACACACTGGCAACCATAGAAAAAGCTGGCAACGTTGTCAATAGCCTAGTGACGTAATTAGGAGATTTTTTTTTGTAAATATCTCGAAAACGGTAAACTCAATTGAAATTCCGATTTCACAGAAATGTTTAAAATTACAAAACGCCTTGAATAAAACCATAAAAAGTATAGGTCAGAAAAAATTTAACTACCCCATTATTTCTCTAGCTTTGTTATTGTACTTACTGCTTAATTGGCGGCCTTTCGACTTTGGCAGCTTTGACAGGAGATGCAGTTGCAACCGCGGGTAAGACGGTCGTTGCCGATTGAGTGGAAGAGGGTGTGGAAGCGTCGGAATCATCCGAATCCATGTCGCTTTCGTCTCCTTCTGCTTCGTCTTTGTCGCTCAGCTCAGGATCGTCGCACACCAGCAAGGGAAGTTTTTCTTTTTCTTTCAAATTTTTCTCTTTAAAAGAAATGACAAGGTAAGTTTATTGTAAGGAGCAAGAGGAGAACTATATGTATATTTTATTTGTACAAGTTGTTTTATAACACTTTGATAGTTCGATTTACTAACATTGAGTACTATACTCCCACCTATATTACTTTATTTAGTCAAAAATATACAGGGACTCCTACAATTCATCAGTAGATTAATGTCAAATAGAAATTTTGTTTGTTCCATTGTAGCCTTGTATACTATAGTAGTATTTTATAAGGGTTATTTAATAAAGCACTTTTCTTCTTTATTAAATACCAAAACTAAAATTATAATGTTTTTTGAGTAAAAAGTATTATTTTTTGAAATTTTTGTGTCGTTTTTTTAATTACTAATTAAATTGAAAAGGCAACAAAGTAAATGGGTTTTGGTATAAGCATTACTCTTCGACTATTATTTGATATGTTTTTATTCACATCATGCCTAAAGTACCCAAAAATTTAATCTCGAATCTTATTTATTAAGTCTTAACAAAATTTAATATCGAATTGAAGTATAAAGGCGCCTTTATCTACTTTATCGTTCAAGCACATTAAAGTGCATCTATTAATTATTGACATTTAAAATTAAAACTTTTAATTGTATTTTTACTTGAAAGTGATTTTAAGAACCAAAAATGAAAAAAGAGCAGGAATTGGAAGTGGTAATGGAAGTGGCAGATAAAGGAGACGAACATTTATGTCGTCGTTGTAAATTTGTTTTTGTTGCGGTACCTTTACGCCCAAGAAAAACCAACGCAATATTTCATTACAAAATTTTATGAGGTATACCTACTACTTTAATTTTGCAGGAATATTAAATGGACCTGATATAGGACGTTTAATGAAAGATCAAGCATTCAAAAATGCACTCAAAGTTAACCAGCTTGTCGCATATGGCAGAGTTAAAGCTGTCATTGAAACTGTTCTTGGTTCATATCGGGCTTAAAATTGGCGCCAATTCATTGAAAAAGTGCTCTCCGTTTAGTAAAGAATTAGCGTTAATATGTCATTTGAAATACATTTTCTTTTTTTTTTCATCCTGATAAATTTGCCGAACATGGAGAACGATTTTACCAAGTAACTGCAAATCTAGAACATTGGTATATATCTATGGGTATAGCGGAAAGAAGTTGGATTCATTGCTAGGGACATTTTCTGGAATTTGCAGCAAAAGATGTACGACGATGATGAGGATTAAGCACAATATAATACTATAATCCAATTCGATATTTGATATGATTTAATAAATTTAAGGTAGAAAAAATTTTGAGGGCTTAATTTGGATTAAAAATACTGAAACTTGTTTACTTTATTGCCCTTTCAATTTAATAATTAAAATAAACGACAAAAAATTTCAAATAATGGTTGTTTTTTTACATAAGATACATTAAAATTTTAGTTTTAGTATTTAAAATGTCATATTGTTAAGGTAAATATTAGGCTGGTTCAAAAAAATCAACTATTATTTTTTCTTAAAATTTCGCACTGAAATTTTTTCACGGTACCAAAAAAAGACACCTGTCAAAACCGGAGCTCTTAATTTTAATATTTAGAGGTCGCGCATCGAGAATTTCTATTTCCCATTTAAATAACATGGGAAATTTTGTTTTGTTTCTTTATAATTTTCCAGCTCACAAACTAATTAACAGATTTTTATGCGCGATATATATTCTTGTGGGAAATTGAATGCTCTACAAAAAATGTGTCATATCATTTTTCGATAAACCAACGAGTTCAAAAGTTATTCAAGTTATTATTATTATTATTCAAGTTAAATTTGTCATAATTGCATTTTTTACTTCAATTTTAGGCAAATTCATTAGTTAGTTTTTATCAAATATAAAAAAAAATCATTCAAAAAATTAAAATTACTATGTTCAATAAGCCTTTTAAATTAATTCCACTGAAACACCTACTATTTTTGGAAATAATTCATTAACAATGATTTTAATTAATCAAAAAGAATTTTAATCAATTCTTTCCAAAAATAGTAGGTGTTTCAGTGGAATTAATTTAAAAGGCTTATTGAAGATGGTAATTTTGATTTTTTTTATATTTGATAAAAACTAACTAATGAATTTGCCTAAAATTGAAGTAAAACATGCAATTATGATATAAATTTAACTTCGACTTTGAATAACTTTTGAACTCGTTGCTTTATCGAAAAATGATAAGAGACATTTTTTGTAGAGCGTTCAATTTCCCACAAGAATATATATCGCGCTTAAAAATCTTTTAATTAGTTTGTGAGCTAGAAAATTATAAAGAAACAAAACAAAATTTCCCATGTTATTTAAATGGGAAATAGAAATTCTCGATGCGCGACCTCAAAATATTAAAATTAAGAGCTCCGGATTTTACAGGTGTCTTTTTTTGGTATCGTAAACATATTTCAGTGCGAAATTTCAGAAAAAAAAATAGTTGATTGTTTTGAACCAGCCTAGTAAATATGATCTATTACTTCAGTAAATTCAAGATAAATTTAAGGCAAAATAATTTAATAAATAATTAAAATACCAACAAAAAACTTTGAGGTGATTGAGCAGAGCATTTTATTACGAAATTATTTTAAATCCTAGACGTCCTAGAGAAAAACTAATGACATTTTTGAAATCAGCGGCCCAAAATTAGTTAAACTAAGCTGGGATACTTAATGTTAGAAAAAAAAGTTTCTAAAACTATCGTAGTCACGGTTAGTGATGTGCCGGCGGGAACGTTCCCTAGGGAACATTCCCATTCCCAGGGAATGTTCCGGGAACTTTCCTTTAAGGTAGGGAAAGTGACCAAAAACTGGGAATGTTTTTAAAAGCACAAAATTGAATCTTATTTTATAGTCTAATAACCCACTGCACCAAAAAAACTAAATTTTTCCTCTGATTTATAAGGTTTTTGTTCAGTTTCTTAATTTTACTGAACATTCCCCATACTTTCCCGAAAAGAGGGAATGTTTTGGGAACGTTCCCGTACACATTTCCACTCAAATGCTTATGCGCGTCAGATTTTGAGGTTATGTGTTATGTTATGTATTTTGTTTATTGGTTAACTTATATTGTAGTTTGAGCTATTAGCTAATTAATAATCTTGTCTTGTGTCACAAGTTGTGTGCTATTGTGTTAAAATTATATTGTAGGTAAGTTAAAAATTGTCGTTATTCTAGTTATTAAACATTTGTAGTAAAACTATGCATTTCATTGTAGAAACCACGAAAACCAGTAACCATGACAAGGAAATCCATTCTATGGAAATACTTTAATGTTGTCCTTAAAAATGGAAAGACACAATATGTCTGTAGATTTTGTGACACCACATATTATTATAAAAATATCACCAAATTTGGAAACCACTTAGTAAAAAAATGCAAGAAAATTCCAGAGCTAGTGAAATCAAGTTTAAAAAGAACACAAGCAGTTGCAGATAACATGGAAGAAGCAAATATTAATGAAGATGGAAAAATAGCAAGCGAATTGTGTATGGTTTCTTTAAGTACTGCTTCGATGTCTAGGAAATCGAGTAGTTTTTCTGGTGCTGGTGGTAGTCCCAATTCCAAACTATCTAATAAGCAGCAGCAAGAAATATCATCTTATGTAATGAAAACGAAACTCAACAAACGTTCGAGGACTCCGAGGCCGAGAAGCAACAAAATGATACAACAGAGAATAATAAAATCTACAATACGCGACAAACAAATATTAAGAGTATAAAAAAACATAAAGGTAATTTTGTTCAATTAGACTTTTCGAGCGACTCCAACAATAATGACTCTGACGAGTTAGAGTTAGGCCATGAAGTGAGCGAAACCAGTTCTTCTGACTCTCCGGACGATAGTTCAAATGAGTTAGACTCGGACAATTAGGTTCTTTAGGTGAGTTAGACTCGGACAATTAGGTTCTTTTTATTTTTTTTATTATGTTTATATGTGTGTTTGTACTTGTCTATACTTACAAATTGTAAAGTACAACTGCAATATTGCAGTAAACAGTAGTAATGTTTTAGTTTTTCACTGAGTATAATGTTTGAGTTTATGTTCTTAGTATTTATTTTACTAATGCAGTAAAGAATAAAATGTGTAAATTTTTTTAATTTTTGTTTTTTTTTAATACATGCATGTAATAGAGGCAATATAATTACGGTTTTTGTAAACATTCCCTCACATTCCCAGTTCCTGGAACGTTCCCTGGTAATCTTTCCGGGAACATTCCCAAAAAATACTTTCCCGGGAATCTGCCCATCACTAGTCACGGTGCTGTTCTGAGAGGTGATTTTTGGACTTTCTGTGAAACCTAATTTTTTTTTATATTCTTGTTAATTAGGTCATAACTGAAATTTTAAGAGCAAAATAAAAAAAAATTTGACGGTTTAAATTGTTTTAATTGGCTGTTTATTAAAAATATTATGCACTCTTTCAATTATCCAATTAAAACAAGCGATTTAATTTAAATATTTAATATTTGCATAATTAAAAAAAGGTTTTTACAATATTTTTTATATATTTTACTGTTTTGTTGCAATAAACGTTCAAACTTTTAATCTAACCTTTGACGTATACATTTATGTTCCCTTAATTAATATATCCTTAAAGGTTGCCATGACACTTAGATATATTAAAAATTTATTTGATGTTTGAATTGTCATTTTCAGTATACGTATTCTATAATTTTTGTTTAGTTTTTTAAAGTGTTTTTTATAAACAAAAATGAAAAATTGTAGTAAAAGTTACGAAGAAATTCATGAAATTTAACTAAGGACCGGTTTAAAGTTTATCGGGCCGATAACTTTCATGTCTTGGCAATATCTAGTATCCAAAGAAATTATTCGTCAAATAAATCAAAAATGAATAAATCGGCCCTAAATAAAATGTGGCACCCTTAGAATTATTGTTTAATAAATGTATACTATACATTTAACCGTAAATTAAAACTTTAAACGTGTATTACAACAAAACAGTAAAAGATATAAAAAAGGAAATTAACTAATCTTTAATCTGATTTAAAAAGTTATGATAATATTTAAATAAAATCGCAAGTTTTAATTGGAGAATTGAAAGTGTGCATATATATTTTTAATAAACATCCAATTAAAACCAAATTAACCGTCAATATTTTTTTATTTTGCTCTTAAAATTTTAGTTATGACCTAATTAACAAGAATATAAAAAAAATTAGGTTTCACAGAAAGTCCAAAAATCACCTCTCAGAACAGCACCGTGTAGTGTAATTGAAATATAACAATTCTCTAATATTTGCGTTTTATTATTTGCTAAAATAAGCTTAGAAAATGCTAGAAAACTAATGATTTACTTACTTTTCTTGGGCGTTTTTGGCTCCAATTTGTAGGGTTGTCCGTCGAAAGTATGAGGACCATCCATTCCAGGGAAACAGATGATGGCCAAGAACCAATGAGCATTTTCGTTAATTGGAACAATTACAAAGTCCTTTTCGAATAAATTCACAGTTTTCGTCCATGTTTTGACGCGGGCGTGCCTTTTCTGCGCGGCAGTCAACGTATTGTCCAATTCGGTCGGTTGACATTTTCTCGAGGCTTTCTGCGGCTTAGTCGTTAGTCTTTTGTAGAAGAACGTGGAAAACACGTGAACTTTTTCCTGTTTCTCTTTTGGTAAGTTGTTGATGAGATATTTCAGGTAAAAATCGATAATTACGTCGTTGAGAAATTGATCGGTTGCCAGACAAATGTAATCCTCCGTGTTGATCGTCAGCCGTCCCCTGCCTTCGGGCGGGTACTGCAAAAGCGGTTTAATCTCGGTAAGCCCGCCCCCGCTCATGGACTTATTCAGGTCTTTCGGGCAGGTTTTCACCAAAATATCGTTGGCTTCTTTGGCTAAAAGTTCATCGAGAATGTTGTGCGGCGGACCCGTGTAAATTTCCTGCAAAAAAGTTTTGTCCTCCTCCGTGAATTCTTCCGGAAGTAACGTTATCCGTTTGTGGGACTCGTCTTTTTCCGACAGCGGATTGAAGTACGGTTCGGAACCCTTTTCCATGCCGAGCAGTTCGCGGACGTTGGCGCCCACCGTCGGCGTCAAATAATAAAACAGCAACGGCAGAGCTTTGTTAAAATTGACCAAGACGCGAACGATGTCGCCTTGATCGATGCGCACGGTTTTTATTTCGCTTTCATTGTTGGGATGAGGCACTTTTAATGTTACACCGCTTGATTCAATCAAAATCTAAACAAAGAGCGATGCCAGTTAAAATACATTCTAGACAATAAAGCACCTGAATTGAAAAAAAAATAATGACAGGTAAATTTTGATGTAATTATGTAAAACACATTATAGGCAATCCAAATGTGCAAAATTGTAACAAGTTGGATAGTTTCTTTCTCCGCCATCTTTGTATTAAGGGGTAATTTGGTTTTTGTCATATATCTCCATGTTCTTTTATTTCACATAAAAACTTGCAAGAACAAATTTGTATAAACTTTTTTGAAAAAACAAAATTTAAAACAAAAATTATGATAGTTCGAATTACTAACTTTGTGTACTGTATATTTTTGACGGTTTTTTTATACAAAGTCATTGGTAGATAAATGTCAAATAGAAATTTGTTTTGTTCCATTGTAGCCGTATACTATAGTAGTTTTATATAAGGGATATTTAATAAAGCACTTTTCTGCAGTGAAGTGCGTTATTAAATACAAAAACTAAAATTATAATGTTTTTATGGTAAAAAGTATCATTTTTTGAAATTTTTGTGTCGTTTTTTTAATTACTAATTAAATTGAAAAGGAAACAAAGTAAATGGGTTTCGGTATAAGCATTACTTTTTGACTATTATTTGATATTTTTTTTATTCACATCATGCCTAAAGTACCCAAAAATTTAGTCTCCAATCTTATTTATCAAGTCTTATCAAAATTTAATATCGCCTTTATCTACTTTATCATTCAAGCACACTAAAGTGCATCTATTAATTATTGACATTTAAAATTTAAACTTTAAATTGTATTTTTACTTAAAAGTGATTTTAAGAACCAAAAATGAAAAATGAGCAGGAAATGGAAGTGGTAATGAAAGTGGCAGAGATTTATGCCGTCGTTGTAAATTTGTTTTTGTTGCGGTACCTTTACGCCCAAGAAAAACCAACGCAATATTTAATTACAAAATTTTATGAGATATACCTACTACTTTATTTTGCAGGAATATTAAATGGACCTGATATACGACGTTTAATGAAAGATCAAGAATTCAAAAATGCTCTCAAAGTTGACGAGCTTGTCGCATATGGCAGTGTTAAAGCTGTCATTGAAAATGTTCTTGGTTCATATCGGGCCTAAAATTGGCGCAAATTCATTGAAAAAATACTTTCAGTTTTGTAAAGAATTAGCGTTAATATGTCATTTAAAATACATTTTCTTTTTTTTCATCCTGATAAATTTGCCAAACTGATGAACATGGGGAACGATTTCACCAAGTAGCTGCAAATCTAGAGCATTGGTAGATATCTATGGGTATAGCGGAAAGAAGTTGGATTCATTGCTAGGAGGCATTTGCTGGAATTTGCAGCAAAAGATGTACGACGATGTTGAGGATTAATCACAATAATACTATAATCCAATTCGATATTTTATACGATTTAATAAATTTAAGGTATAAAAAAGCAAAATTATGCAATGCATTAAATTTTGAGGGCTTAATTTGGATAAAAAATACTGAAACTTGTTTACTTTGTTGCCCTTTCAATTTAATAATTAAAATAAACGACAAAAAATGTCAAATAATGGTTGTTTGTTTACATAAGATACATTAAAATTTTAGTTTTAGTATTTAAAATGTCATATTGTTAAGATAAATATGATCTATTTGTCGTATACCAATTACTTTAGTACATTCAAGATAAATTTAAGCCAAAATAATTTAATAAATAATTAAAATACCAACAAAAAACTTACATTTTGAGGTAATTGAGCAGAGCATTTTATTACGAAATTATTTTAAATTCTAGACGTCCTAGAGAAAAACTAATGACATTTTTGAAATCAGCGTTAGGAAAAAAAGTTTTAAAACTATCATAGTGAATTATTCAGAAACAACTTTTCTACTTGAAGTGGAATATTTAAGTAGAAAAGTTGTTTCTGACGCCCGTTTCGCGACATCTACAACTTTGTCCCGTTCCTGAAAAATTGTTTCTAAGCATATTTTATTTCTACAAAAGTTGTTGCAAATTAAGTGAAAAACAACTTTTCTACTTGAAGAACGGTTTCAATTAGTTAAAAAACAAAACAGAAAAAAGTAGCAAAACTGCTTTAAAATTTGAACCCTCTACCTTAAAAGTTCAACGCGCTGTTTTTATTTTAAATTTAGTTTTTGAACAAAATTCAACATAAATTGTAGGTAATTTTATTCTATAAAACTTTGCCTTCATGAGTTTTTACGTGAATTAAAATAATAGCGAGTTATTTGAGAAAAACAAAATCACCCCTTAAAATTTGCACTTTTGGGTTTCCCAGGAAGGGATTTACGATTTACTGCGTCGAAATTTACCAATTATTTTTTTCCAATTGAAGTGCTAGAATAACTAATTGAATTAATCAATTTACTTACTTTTTCGGTAGGAACGAATCGGTAAGAGCCTATTCTGACTGTTCTGCATAGTAAGTTCATGCTAACAGGGTTTAGTATGTCCTGATTGATACCTTTTAACAAAACAAGAAAATGACATTTAAATTAATTTAAAACTATTTAGGTTAGTATCGTTTTGAAGTATTTTTTATATGATTGTGATATTATACTAAACAGGTAATTTTAAAAATTCTGCAGTCAGTAATTACTTCTTCTGAAGTAATTATTTTTAAAAATATAAGGTAAACTTTGACTTCTTGTGCAACAAAAATCAAATGTTTTTTTATTTTGACATTTTTTAAAATTCATCAGAAAAAGTGTTATTATTTAATTACAAATATAAAAACTTACCATGAAATTTGTTCATCACGTGTTTTTGTATATCAGTTAGTGAGGGTTCTTTAGTCACTGGACTAATACTAATTGATGCGCCCAATTTGGACAAAAGTTGCTCATTTACCTGAAAAACATAAACAAAATATAATGGGTGTTTCTATATTATTCAAAAAAAAAACAGTTGACAAAAAAGCCCAAGCAGTTTTTGGTTAAACAAATTACTGCCTGGAAAGAAGTTTTCGAAAAATAAGGGAGGGTAACCAATTTCATTAATCTGACATGCATTAAATTAAAATTTTATACCACACTAAGTTTATTTCAATGTTTTTTATGGATAACTTGACAAAATAAATTTTTGTAGTTATTATTGTGCATTTTTTTTTCTTAAACTTTTTCAATAAAATTTAGTATAGGGATTTTGTTTAAAAAAATCGCTAATATGAATTCTTAAAATTTGGTACTCTTAAAAACTGACATAGCAGGCCTTGTATTTTGTAAAAATATGGCGTTTATTGCTTTAAAAATACAGTTTATCAAGATCTACACTTTAAAACAAATCCGGTTAAAATCGCACAATAAATATAAAAAACTTAAATATTTTTTTAAATTTTTTTCCGTTACACCTTATGTCAAAAGGTATTCAGTATTTTAATATATTACATTAATTACACTAGTTTACAAAATCGAAAAAAAATTCTGCCACCATATCCAATTATAATTTTTCCATGTATTTTGACCCACTAAACAAGAAAATCACACTCAATTTTTTTTTATGAAAGCGTTTTTAAAATATGAATTTTCAATTAAGTTTTGACTTTTTTGAGTATAGCTTGAAATCTAATTGATCGATTTGGTCAAACAAGCCCTCAAATTTAAGGTATTTGAACCCTCTAAAACTTTCTTTTACATTACATTTTTACAAAAAGAACAAGTTAATGTTGATAAAAATACATGGAAAATGGCGAAGTTATGAATTTTTTAGTGGAAGAAAAATTAGCTTTTTGACGATTTTTATTTTATTTTGTTCTTTTAATTTGTAATATTTTTATTCTTTAATGAAAACCTAAGTAAAGTGCATGATTAGAATTTTTTGAGTTTTTTACGTACATTTTTCACCGAAAACATTATTCAAAATTTAAATTTGACATGACTCCGTAAACGTGAATTCTTTTGTTTCTCGTGTTGGCATAGTGACATTTCACTGCTATTTTTTGATATTTCAACAAAGTATTTTTATCATGGTTTTATTTAGTTAATAAAAAGTGTAAAATGAGTAAAAGAAGTAGAGAGTTCAAGTGCGTAAATAACCCGCACAATCTGGGCGACGTAAGTGATGAGCACGGAGAACGTTTTTACCAGCAAATGAAGGCTATGAAGCCGCGGTTTCACGGCTTCTGGGATGCAGCCATGATGGGTGATTACATTTGGTCCCTCATACGAGAAACGGAATACGAAAGCAACAAAAAACAAAGGAGCCAGAATTTTTTTAAACCCATGCTTATTAAAACAAAATAAAACTTTCAATATCTTCAATGTTCAATATTCAATATATAATTTAATTTAAATTTTTAATGTTTAAAATAAAAATCAATGTTCAATATTAAATTTTTTATAATTCAATAAAATGAAGAAAAAACGTAAAAATTCTCGAAAAACTGAATTTTGCTCTTCCACTGAAAATTTCATAACTTCGCCATTTATCCATGGATTTTTATCAACAGCAGCTTATTTTTTCCTTTAAGTATAATCTATACTTAAAATAAATCAAACTGGACTTATCTTTTCGATTTCTATCTTTCCCAGAAAGATATGTAAATTTTTGACCTCGATTTTTGTAAAAAAAAAGGACTTTTTCAACTTCATAAAATCGCCAATATCGAACTACTGAGCCGATACCAAAACTATACAAAATAAAGTTGTAGCGGGCTCAATTACCTTTGATTTAAGTGCTTGTTGGGTCAAATCGATCAATTAGAACTCGAAGTATACTCTAAAACGTCAAAACACTTTGGAAAATTAAAAAAAACAATTGAAAATTCATATCTCGAAAACGCTTCCATGAAAAAAATTTTAAGCGTAATTTTCGTGTTGTAGGTAAGTATAATAAAATGTAAATCTCGCGACACAGCAATGTGTCGCTACACGGTGGCCGATCTAACGTATTAAACATGATAATATTATAATTTCAATACCTTTAACCTTTTATTAAAGTACCGTAAACACGGGTGGCTTTGCACCCCGCGGGTGACTTTAGCCCTTTTATGAAAAATCTTTTCGCGCTCGATAAAATTAACATTTATAATTTGTTGGTCTAAACCTGTCAATTGAGCAATTCTATAGAGTTTATATTACAGGAAAATCAGTGTTTTAAAGAAATAAATGGGATTTATTACACTTTAAAATTGTATATAGGTATCGCGTTACAATTTCTATATTATGCACAATTCTTTGGAATGATGATCCTTGGTTAACTACAGGTCGATTTTTTATTTTATTTATCGGTAAACCCTTGCAATCGCTATATGTCGCTGCTAACATGTGTCTAATAAAAATGAAATAAAATATTGAGTTAATTTTATACGGAAAATACACTGTGAGACAAAGTTACCCGCAACCAGGGAGTAACTTTGCACACCCAGTTTTTAATTTTTATTTTTGAAACTCAGCCCTATGAAATATTATAACATAGTTGTTATGAAAGAGCAAGTCAAGACTCAAATTTTGGTATACAATATTTAATGTTTATGATTGTTAAAACCACAAAAATTTTAAGCTTAAGTTTGAAAGTGAGCTAAAGCCACCCGTGTTTACGGTAAGAGTTTTATTTTCGCGAAGGTTGACAACACTAAAAGTCTTATAAATAGCACTTACCGATTTAGCTGGCGTTTTAGGGTCGTCCTCTTCGTCGGAACTGACCAAACAAACAGTTTCGTGTTCGACGGCTTTCGGTTTGGCTTTTTTCCTCGTCGTCATCGTCGGCGAAGGTTTAACATCGGTGCCGTTCTTGAGCGCGGTCAATTTTTTCTCGTTGAGCGGACTCCTGATGTCGGTCGGCATGCCACCGTTGGTGGGCACCTTGCTCTGAATGGCTTTGACGTCGTCGGGCAGCACCCGCTGGCACCGCATGCACTTGGCAAAGTCCTCGGAGAGGTAGCCGCAAATTTTGCACAGCGCCAACTGTCCGGGAAGGTATTTCGGCTGGATCTCTTTGACCGGTTCCGGCGACGGTTCCTTGGGCGGCGCTTCCGGTATCGCCGGTTGCGGCGGTGCCACGTTGGGCGGTTGCTCTTGCTGAGGAGGTTGTTCGCCTTCGCCGGCTTCGTTTTCCTCCTGGTATTGAAACTGAGGCACTTCTCCCACGGTGACGATGTAGTTGATGCCGTTGGTGTTGGCTTCGGTCACTTGGATGTTGGTGTCGTGCTGGAACGGCACGTTCACTTGCTCGAGAATTTCCTGTATGGTGCATGCTTCTTTCGGTAGCGTGAACGTTATCAATCTTTGCTCGCCATTGTCCAAAAGCACCAACATGCGTATGGAGTCGGAGAATTCTTCGCTAACAGGAGTGTTTTCTGTAAAACAACAAAAATATAAGAAAAAATTGAACCTACACCTCGCCAAAGTTTTTTGTTTTGAGTGCATTCCACCCACTTAGTAGTAGTGGAACACATTCAAAACAAAGGACTTTCTGAGCTTATATGCTCGGTTGTTAAGTCAACAGAGGCGAGGTGTAAGAACAACAGGCGATCCACACCGTCAAACGACGTGGCCTTTGCCGGAATCGGTACAAACTATGCAACCGGGACTGCACACAGCAATTGTATCACAGGTACTAATATGGCCTAAAGGAATCTAGAATTAGCCCAACCGGGCTAAACATAGAGGCAAACTAAATATTTTAACAAAGATCATCTATATTTTGTTTGGAAACATATTTTTGTTGAGGTAAACTTTCAATTTTCTTATTTTCTTTAAGAAACTTTCTTGACCCATTACTGGTAATATTCATGTAGGTGTAGGTTCAATTTTTTCTTATGAATATTACCAGTAATGGGTCAAGAAAGTTTCTTAAAGAAAATAAGAAAATTGAAAGTTTACCTCAACAAAAATATGTTTCCAAACAAAATATAGATGATCTTTGTTAAAATATTTATTTTGCCTTAAATGCCATTATTTGTGTAGATAGAGTCTGCGAATGTTTTACCTTTCGTCATCAATTTCTTAATCAAATAAAGACATGCACAGTAAAAAATTTTGGTAAAAATACAAATAAAAATATGGAATATTTAAACTATAATTTATGGAATTTTAATTTATACTCAATTTATTGTGTATGAGCTAACTTTTTATTGAATACAGATTGGAAACATCTTTACCGAAAATAATATGCAAGTGGGTGAATCTCACGAAATGTCCCCCGCTGTTATTTTCCCGTGATATTTAATAAAACTAAATGAGTTTCACCTACACCGTTATTGTGTTTTGATCTAAGTCTAAAACCTATCCTCCGTGACTGTTACTCCTTTTAGGTTAACCTATATGTTTTCAAATATCTGAGGTAGTAAAAGCATACTAAAAATATCAGCTCACTAAGTAAATTAAACACATCCAAAGCAATCGAATCAAATATAAAATATTATTAAAAATTAAAAGAAATAATTTTTATAACCATTTATATTGGTGTTACAAAAATTGATTCTATCATTTTAAATAAACAAAAACCTCTGTTTATGACATTATAGATGCATGAGATTCCTGAAGGTCAGTTGGAATTTATATGCAGATGAAAGTGTTGCTGTTTTATAATTCAAAAGTTTAAGTTCATTAATTTGCTATTTAAAAACCTATCCACCGTGAAGTGTAATATCTCAATAAGTAGATTTTTTTATAAATATTTTATGTATGTAAAATTGTATTTTAAAAAAATATTAAGGTGTCAAAAGATAAAATAACTTATTTCAAATATACAAAGGGATGTTTAAAAATAAACATAGGAAATCCTAACCTCCGTGAAGCTATCTTCCGTCAAGCTCTAATATTCAAAATGTATGATTTCTTAAAATTCTTGCATTAGCGCAGAACACAGACCCCCAAAACAAATGGACGGCGCATTGCCATTCAATAACAATGCTTTGTTTGCGGTCAACGAACGGTCACAGTCCAAGCGTTAAATTGGATATAAAATTTTATGTTTTCTTCCAGTGACGTATTGCGTACTCCAAAACAGCTGACATATAACAAATATGACAGCTGACTGCAACCAGTGCCTTGGTGTTAAATAGGGATAATTTAAAAATAGTTTAATTTAATTGTGATACGTTTTTTAAATAATTTAATTTTAATTTTTTTAAAATAGTTACGAGCCGTGGTTTTAAATAGGGATAATTTAATTTAATTTAGTTTTTAGGTTTATAAATCTTTTAAATAATTATGAACAAATATTGGGATTAAAAAAAAATAATAAGTAGGTAGGTACTTACAAACGATATTTCCATGAATTGTTATTTTTAGTAAAAAATAATGTATTTAAACTCAATAATTAACTTAAACACGATAGAAATCCACAAACGAAAACACAAAACAACAAGCTGTCAACCATTTTCTATGCTGTCAACCACAATCCACTGAACGCAAATATGACGAATTTACCAACGTTGTTAATATTTAATTTTAATAAATATTAAATGATTTACTTTCTTTAAATAGAAAAAAAAATCCAAAGTAAATGAAGAACAAATCCTTTTTACAATTTTTTTTATTATTCAAACGAATTACTGGTAATTTTTAATGTTCATTATGTTATGATGAACGTCCAAAAAGGCGTGTAATCTATACTTCTGACAACGTTTAGAATGTGAAACTATGCTTTACTCGCTTTTTAAACGTAAACAAATCCGTCCATTTGTTTTGGTGGTCTGTGGCGCAGAACCACTTATGTTATGTTATTACTACACCTTTTCCAGTTGATATTCAGAAAGTAGCAATTGATATTCAAAAAGTAGCAATTGTTTTTCAGATATTTCAAATGGTATTCAGAAAGTAGCTGATGAAATTCAGATATTGCAAATGATATTCAGACAGTAGAAATTGATATTCAGAAATTACAAATAGTATTCAGACAGTAACAATTGTAATTCAGAATATGTCAATTGAAATTCAGAAATTAACAAATGATAACATAATAATAATAATAATGCTTTATTGAACTAAAACCAAGTTCAAAGGCTATTGACCGTAGTCCTTCAGCCGCGATAACATTTTCATACTTCATTTTAATTATTTTCTAAAATCTCAATTTAAAGTATTTCTTTGTATATTGCTTTGTTTCCATGGAATTGACAATAATAAACAAATTTATCACCATTTAAGGTAGGTATATTTGTCATAATTGTCAACTTATTGCAAGTAAGGACCGAATTTTGTTCATTTGTACTTTATATAAATTTCATTTACTTAGTTAATAAAGATAATGTGTACTTTCATTCATCATCGATTTACTGTATGCAACCCACTGTTCCCGAAACAATTGCTGCGGCTGAATTACATTTGATTTAATCTGAAAAACATTTGCTACTTTCTGAATTACAATTGCAAGTTTCTGAAAATCAATTGTGTTATCTGAATTACAATTGCTACTTTCTTAAAATCAATTGTGTTATATGAATTACATATGCTACTCTCTTAAAATCAATTGGAATGGCTGAATTACAATTTCTACTATCTGAATATCAACTGGAATAACTGAATTACAATTCCTACTTTCTGAATATCAACTGGAAAAGGTGTAGACTAACAGTGAAACAAGCAAAAATAAAAAATAATCATTTTCAAAACATTTTTGGGAAAACTATTGGTACCTTATGAAATTAAAAAAAATAAAGTAGACGTACCAATAATTTGTTGTATCTGGCTGGATGGTATGTAGGAAGGCAGCGGTCGATGCTGCGTGGGCTTGTGCTGATTAGGCGGTTGAATCACGTAATTGGCCTGCGAGCGCTGTTGTTGCAGCATCGGCCGCTGCGGCGGCTGATTTCGCTGATGTATCAGGTTCCTCTGGTGCTGCGCCTGGTACTGCCGCGGCACCGGCGACTCCCCGAACTGAGACTGGTTGGGTGGGAAGTTGCCGGGCATCGAGTTTGCTTGCTGCTGCTGCTGCTGGTTCGCCGGCATTCCGACTCTGCCACCGCGCGCTGGCGCTCGCCCACCTCTGTTGACGTTTCCGCGATTCGCTGGCGCTCGCTTCTTCGCGGCCGGGGTCGGATTGCCGCCGCCCACCACGCCGACCTGATCATTGTCCATTTGATTGTTTGGCACACCACTTGGAATTCTAAATTCAATTTTCAATTAAAACTGAGTTATCTTGTAACTTGTATCTTAAAAAGTATCTAAGTTACTCGGTAAAGTAACTAAGATACATTCAAGTTTTTATTCATATATTATATCACGAGAACTATGAATTTAATAAACTAGACTCAGTAGTTTTTTGTTTGGTTTTTGTTGGAAAATGTTGAATGCAAAATAATTTAATAAAATCACGAGACCGCGTAGCGGTCGAGGGGTTTTATTTTTAATTATTTTGCATGAAACTATTTTCCAAAAAGAAAAATCAAATAAAAAACTTACTGAGCATAGTTCGACAGATTAAATTTATAGGTTGAGTGATATAGGTCTAGATTATTTCTCGAATTAACCATTCATAAAATCTGACGTACGTGTAAAAGTTTATAAATATTTTTTTAAAGAAAATTCCATTAATTTAAGGTATGTAATAAGTAATAATTGATATTTCGTAAACTAGATAACTTATTTTTTATTGTTTTTTAAAAAATGTTTGTTAAAACTTGTAAATAACACCATAAAATCGTAAACAAAAATCTAATATGGAGGCTAAAATTTAATCGCTGTTAAAAAGGTCTAGTGATTTAATCGCTTATTTAAACGAAATTTATTCGAAAATTCAAGACTTTTGATTGGTACATATTATATTGAGGGAAATAATCATACTTAAAAGCAGGGACCCGGACCCAAATGAAATAGCGGTTCCTGTTCGGTTCCGAGAAACGAAAATTTCGGTTCGGGTTCAGTTACGGTTCCAAAAAAAAAACATTTCTGTCCGGTTCGGACCAATCTTTTTAGTCCATACGGTTTTTATCGGTTCCAATTTTTTTACCATGTAAAATAAGTAAAATTATAAAATGAAAAATTGATTTTTTTGTATATTTTTTTAGGCTCTTTATTCTCTTTTTTTTTACTTTTATTCTCGATCTGCTTGCTAACTTTATCTTTTTCTTCTGAAATTGCGATTGAAAAACTGGATATATCATATTTAAAATAAGTTTCTCTCCAAAAATTCTGTTCTCACAAATAATTGTTCCTCTATTTTTTTTCTTTTGTTTGATCTTGTTGAGGGAAGTAAAAATTTGTGATCAGAAAACAGCCTTTTAACGCTTACTTACTTGTGTTGCAGGTGTCCTAAGTATACATAATACTAGGCAACACTAATTAATAAATTCCCACTACAAATGCACCTACCACCCATGCTAGTCAAGATACCTACATACACCTACAATGTCCTACATGTTAGTCATTTTAATAAATCAGTCTTCAACCTACTCTGGTATTATTTAGTTCATGGCGCAGTCAGTAGGATTTTTTGCAAAAACTAATTAAGATTTTTTTAAGGAAATAATCTTTTTTTTTAATTTTTGCAAAAATAAATTAAGAAAAAACCTAAAATATCCTTAAAAATATCCTTAAATTTAAAAGGTTTGGTTTCTAGAGTTACGTTTAAAAATAATATGGACCGGGACCGAGTCCACAAATAAATATCGGTTCCGGTCCGGTTTTCTGTCCAAAAACGGTCCCGTCCGGGTCCCTGCTTAAAAGTAACTTAGTTACTCATAAGTATCTTAGTTGCTTAAAAGTATCTTAGTTACTCAAAAGTATCTTAGATACTTTCATATAGTACCTTAGATACTTTCATATAGTATCTTAGATACTTTCATATAGTATCTTAGATACTTTTGGATAGTATCTTAGATACTTTTTAAAGTATCTTGTAACTAAAGATGCTTTTAACTTAAAGTATCTAGTTACCAGAGGTAACTAAGTTATTTTGTTTAAAGTAACTAGAAACTTTCCCAGCTCTGATTAGCACCTAATTCTTAGGAAAATTATGAAAATTTTTCCCAGATCTTGTCTAAAATAAATATTAATAACTACTAGTTATTACCCATGTACCTGGTGCTATGCATCCAAAAATAATTTAAACGTTTGCGATACGTACAGAAAGATAAGTAATACGTTCGAAAGTTACAATCTTTGGCAGGAGTTAAGAAAGCAAATGCAATATTTTATAAGAACTGCGTCCATCCTCATTTGTTTTCTCCTTCTCAAGATAAACAATTTTTAGAAATAATTTCTCCACCAGTGTTGCATTTAATGATAGGCGTGGTTAACACCTTATATAAACATTTTTACATCATAATCATAATTTAAAAAACTATATTGCTGTAGAAACCCCTTAATTATAGTCATCAAATACTCGAAACCAGTCGGTTTTGAATATAATAAAAAATTCTACAAGCAGTGCCTTATTAATTAAAAACTCCTTAATATATAAACATACCACTGCTTCAATGTATTACATAATATATCCCATATTTAAAATATGTAACTGTATTGGAAAAATTTACAGATCTTGTTCATATCTGCTTTGGTAAAAATCTGGATCCTGATTTAAAAAAATATATATTGATGCATTGAAAGAAAGCTACATTATGTTGGAAATACCTAGAACACACAAAGTTCACGCACTATATTTTCACGTATCCGATTTTTGCGACTAAATGCGAGCCAGTTTTTATAGCGAACATGCGATTTATTATTATATATTATATAGTAAACTATTCCTATTTCGCGCTGATTTAATTTTTCTTTAATATTAAAAAAAACATAACATAAAAGATTAGTTCATTATTTTTCTATTGTAAACTTTTGCAAATTATAGAGTTAAATCAAGCATAATAAATTCATACCTTTGTTGTTGTTGCTGCTGTTGCTGATGTACTGTGGCTCTATTTTTTTGCTCAATCATTCTTTTATAAGCAGCTACTGAAACTATAGTCCCGTCAGGTAAGGCTACTGCTTGCTGTTGCTCGACCATTTGGGGTCTCTAAAATTATATTTAGTTAGGTAATTTTACTAAAAGTATGATTGTTTAAACAAATTTACCTGTGGAGTAATTGCAAGCCTGGGTCTCTGCTGTTGTTGAGGGTCTAAAGGAGGTCTTTGTTGACCAGGCATTTGATGTCTAGGTTGTTGCATTCTTGGAGTTCCTTTTATTTGTCCTGGTTGGGCAGGTCTTATTTGCTGCAAAAAATATATAAATATATACAGGGTGATTCCAAATTAAGGTACAAATATTAAATAGGTAAATCTTCCCAACGTTTGGTGGCAAAAAGTTATTGTGGATGATAGCGCTAAGTATCTTAGATTTCGAGATACAGGGTGTTGAAAATGCAAAGAAAATGTAAATTTTTTATAATATCAGAAAACTGTAGGTACTAATTACAAATTTCTCATAAACCACAATCCACACAAGGTCTGTTCTATCTCATGCTAAAAATACTAAAAATCACTGCAACACTGCACAGAGTTTAACGGCGGCCATTTTTGTTGTTTACAATTCTTGTGCTTTGGGTTTGTGCTGTTTAATAATTGTTTTAAACGTTGTGTTTTTTACAGAGGCACTTGTAAGCCTTAAATAAGGCCTTTAAGTGCTAAGAACAACCATTTTACTTCTCTTTTATAATAAATATACCTTATTCTATCAGGGCTGTCAAATGACAATTTGAACGTTAATTTGTGGGTTATAATTTAACCTTACAATTGACATTTGACAGTTTTATGACAGCCCTGATAGAATAAAGTTTTTTTTAGGAGTAAAATGGTTGTTCTTAGCACTTTAAGGACTCTTTTAAGGCTTACTATGAGAAACACAACGTTTAAAACGATTATTAATCTGTATAAACAGAGCACAAACCCAAAGCACAAAAAATGCAAACAACAAAAATGGCCGCCGTTAAACTGTGCAGTGTTGCAGTGATTTTTTGTATTTTTAGTACTAGATAGAACAGACCTTGTTGTGTGGATTGTGTCATAAACTAGGTTTTAACAGACTCTAAATACTACTATTTTATTGAACTGATTTTATCTCTTGCAACTTTTTAATACGATTTGACGTTCTTGTCAATTACTTACATAAAAGTATGTAATTAATAAAGGAACAATAACTGCTTTCTAAAAGAAGCAAAGCAGTTGGCTAGGAATTTTTGATAAAATTAATTAATATTGTAGTTCACACATTTTTGCTTAGCAACAAAAACGAGATACGCCATTACGTATAATAACGGTGACATAATGTATGTTTTTTGTAAATTCGCAGTTTTTTTTTAATATTTGGCAAATATGTAAATACTTTTTAAAACAATATAATAATAATTTATATATATATATATATTTATTTTATATTTAAATTATAATTTTTAATAAACCATAATATTTTCATAATTATAAAAAGATTAATTTCAAGATCATAGGGGCCATGAAAAAGAATGTGTACTAGATATAAAAAACTTTAAAAACATGTTTTTAAAGATTTTAGTCATTGAATATTTTTTAAATTTTGAAAAAAAAAACGCTTTTTCAGTTAAATAATTGTTGTTTAAGGGCATACCCTGAGAATTAGAAATGTTTGTCCTGACTTGCAACTAAATCTCAAAAATGGCCCACTAACCTTATAGGTACTATGCGGTGGGGTAGGTTATAAGAATTTTTTTAGAATGAAATATAAACTATATTTTTTGAGTCGTAAGGTTTTTAAAATTGAATAAAATAAAAAAAAATGGGAGAAATTCTCTAAAGACAATTTAAAACTAAAAATTACGAAGTTTTTATAATTTAGAGTTTTAATTTTTTAATACAACCTTATCAACCTCAGCTGCCTTATTTGAATCAATTCCATAACAACCGCAAATGTCAAAATTACCGATAACACTATGGTAGTTCAAATTACTAACATTGATTACTATACTCCCACCTATCTTACCTAATTTTAGGCTGCTGATATCAGTGGCGGCTCGTCAGGGTAGGCCTCTGAGGCCGCGCCTCACCCTTAAAATGAAGGAACGAACGACTTTTTGTATTTATATTTTTGCCTATTACAAGTGTATTTTTACAACAGTTCTACCCAATAAAAAGTAAAAAACCAATCAATCATACTAAGCGTAAATAAAAATCCAGGCGCAAAGCGCGTCAAGTTAACGTGCATCGTTGGACAGAGGCGAAATTTTCACAGCCTCGGAAGCTCCCATTTACCTCTTGAAAGCGAAAATGACTCACCAACAAAAATATCGCCGTAAGTTCGCGAATAAACACCGTAGATGAGGCGATATTTAGTTAGCTTGGTTTGTTCTGATTGGTGGTCCGTTTATGGTGGAATGCCAGCGGAGACAAAGAAGGTTGCCAGTCTTCTCTTAGCGTTTGTAGAGCACGTTATTGTTTTGATTCAGATTCAGTTTTTGTCTCGATTAGTAAAATTTCTTATTTAATTATTGTAGGGAACACACTAAGGTAGATTTAGCAGTTTTTATTAAGCAAATTTTATATTTTGAAATAATAGATTGCATAATTCTTCAATTAGAGACGCGGTTTGAAAATTTAGAATTACTTTTAAATCTCACTGCAGACCCACAATTTTACAACCAAATAATAGATAAATTTTCAATCTTAAAAGATAGACGTATAGTATTTTATATTTTTTAATACTTAGGTAGGGGTCGACTTTTTAGTTTTATTTTTATTTTTTGATTAATTTATTTATTTTTAACTTTTTTAAGACTATATTTTAAGTTTAAGATTAAAACTAGTCTTTGATGTGATATTTTGTTTGTTTTGTTTTTTAGAGTTTATTTTTTGGTTTAGTAGTGCTATCGGCTCCATTTTAAAAAAGGTCAACGCGTCGCAGAATAATACCTCCCGGGTGACGTGGAAATTTATTCGTATTTAGACAAAATTAACCTTATGTAGCCTCACCCTCCTGTACACCCACGAGCCGCCACTGGCTGATTTCAAAAATGCCACTCGTTTTGCTCCTGGGCGTCTAGGATTTGAAATAATTGCGTAATAAAATGCTTTGCCCAATTATCTCAAAATGTAAGTTTTTTGTTAATCTTTTGATTATTTATTAAATTATTTTGCCTTAAGTCTATTTTGGATGTTCAGTATATTTGTGACGTTTTTTGTCGAAAAAATATAGAGGGACTCGTTACAAAGCCATCGCTAGATAAATGTCAAATAGAAAATTTTTTTGTTTCATTTCTGCAGAAAAGTGCAAAACTAAAATTATAATGTTTTTTTGGTCAAAAGTAGCATTTTTTTATTCACATCATGCCTAAAGTACCCAAAAATTCAATCTTCAATCTTATTTATTAATAACTTAATTAAGTCGTATCAAAATTTAATATCGAAATAAAGGCGACTTTATCTACTTTATCGTTCAAGCACATTAAAGTGCATCTATTAATTTTTGACATTTAAAATTTACACTTTAAATTGTATTTTTACTTGAAAGTGATTTTAAGAACCAAACCTTAAAAAAGAGCAGGAAATGGCATGCATTAAATTTTGTGGGCTTAATTTGGATAAAAAATACCAAAACTTGTTTACTTTGTTGCCCTTTCAATTCAATAAGTAATTAAAATAAACGACAAAAAAATTCAAATAATGGTTGTTTTTTTACATAAAATACATTAAAATTTTAGTTTTAGTATTTAAAATGTCATATTGTTAAGATAAATATGATCTATTTGCCGTATACCAACTACTTCAGTACATTCAAGATAAATTTAAGCCAAAATAATTTAATAAATTATTAAGATACTAACAAAAAAACTTACATTTTGAGGTGATTGAGCAAAGCATTTTATTACGAAATTATTTTAAATCCTAGACGTCCTAGAGAAAAACAAATGGCATGTTTGAAATCAGCGGCCCAAAATTAGTTAAACTAAGCTAAGAAAAAAAGTTTCTAAAACTATCATGGTGTAATTATCGTTTAAATTAATAGTTCATCTACTTTTTTTTATTTTAATAAACAACTGGATGTTACCAATATTACTTGGGCTAAAATGTAAAACATAAGCAAGCACCATTTATTTATTTCGTATGATCAGTCAGTTTGATTACATGGTGATGGCCCCATATAAAACGGCACCAATATTCTGTTGATTTTATTGTAAGTGTTTTTTCCGCATATAATGATGACCATTATAGTCCAAGCGCCGGCAATATTAACAGGCATGTGAACCTTCCTGGAGACCATGTTCACATTAATGTACCTTATGTTAGGTTCCCGACCTGATTTAAGTTTTTGTGTGACATATTTTAGTCAGTTTAAAATTGTTATTCTAAGGTTAATTTAAAGAATGTTTTAAAATATACACTGCGTCAAAATTAACGCATAACAAGTAAAAAAAATCCAACTCTAAAACGCCTTTACCAATTTTTATAAAATTTTGGATAAAAATACTTTAACTTATATCTCAGTTTACGGGTTTAAGGGTTTTTCGAGAAAATATCATTAAAGCCTTTTTATTTAATAATAAAAAACGTTAGAAAAAAACTTTTATAGGGAATTTTTTTTTGAAATATATAAAAATATGCTGTGAAAGACCGTATTTTTGTTAGTATACCCTGAAAATGTTGTACAAATCAAACGAACAGTAACGAAAATACAGCGCTTCAAAGTAGTCAAAAATGCCAATTTTTTAGAAAAATAATAAAAAAGGGGTAATTCTTACCAACTTTGAAGCGCTGTATCTTTGTTACTGTTTGTTTGATTTGTACAAAATTTTCATTGTATACTAACAAAAATACTGCCTTTATATTTACTTAAAAAAAAATTCCTAAAAGTTATTTTTCAAACGTTTTTTTATTATTAAATAAAAGGGCTTTAAAAATATTTTTTCGAAAAACCATGGAAAACGTAAACTGAGATATAAGTTGAAGTATTTTTATACAAAATTACAAGATTGGTAAAGGTGTTAATTTTGACGCACACAAACAAAAAATAAAATTTATCAAAAGTAATGATTCCAAACTTGGACTAGTTAGTTATGTAGATGTAGATTTTGCAAATAGTATAGTTGACTGGTCTTGTGATTAAATTTAATAATAATCTCTGGAAAACAAAGAAACAAAATATAGTAACTCTACCAAGTGTAGAGTCAGAATATGTTGTTCTTTCGACTTGTATTACTGAAAATATTTTCTTAGCTCAAATTTTAACAGAAATAAATAAATTTAATGTTTATCCAATACATATTTTTGAAGATAACCAAAGTTGAATAAAGATAGCTTCAACTTTAGAGGAGAAGAGTAGTAAAACATCTTTTTGTTCAAGATTGTATAGCTTAAAATGTTGTTAACTTATGTTCAAACTGATAAACAATTAGCTGACATGCTTACAAAGCAACTTGCAGGAATTAAGTATTTTTGAGTTTTATTGAATGTTTGTTTAATTTAAAATTTAAATTTTACAGACTTGCAGAAATGAATGTAACAATCTGCATTAGTTGTAAGTAGTATGAGTTAATATTAGTTGGTAATGTAAAAGTAATAACAATGTGTAGTCAATAAATAATTAGAAGTTGAACTGACAGAATTATTTAAACAAAATTATTTTAATTAATTATATAACTTTATCAATTAGTACTAAATTGAATTTATTTGTTTCCAATTTGACTTTGTTTATTCCCATTTTATGTGTGTAAGTTACCAATTAAAAGTTGATTAGTCCCAATTTGAAATTTTTACATTCCAAATTGAAATTTATTAGTTCCAATTTAAAGTTGAAAAGGTACAGTATTAATATGAAGTCTTTCTATATAGACTTATGAGTGTTATAATATGAAAATTATTGTACGCTTGAAATAGTTTTTTGTTTTACAAGTGTTGAAAAGTGACACATTTACTTCTTCCCTATGTAAAATTCCACACTGGCCAGCAGCAAATTTAGAATGTAAAGCAAGGATTTTTGGATAAATATTATTTTCCTAATATAAAAATACAACTGACATAAATTCAAACAGTGTCCAAATGGTATTTCTTTGAACTAACAGATTATTGTTTAAACTACATTTATTTGATTAAATGCGTGAAAAAATATTGTATATAAGACCCTGCAGCACAAAAGCTTATGTGCATTCTCCGCCTGGCCTTTAATGTACTATTTTTAATAAAATCTTAATAACACATATTATTAAATGAAAAGATCAATTTACCTGCATTGGTAATCTAACAGTTGGTCTTATTTCTGGATGTGCTTGAACTGGAGATTGAACAACTTGTCCTAATGTCTTATTGACATTTCCAATATTATGGTTCAAGACAATTGGCGTCTGCTGCTGAATGGGTTGGGCCTGCACAACTGCCTGCACAGATTGGGATGCAATTGATTGGATTACTTGTTGAATTGGTTGATTAGCAGTTCCTTCCATAAAAAAAACTTGCTGATCTCCACCTTCGATGGTGTATTGCGGCAGTGCTTGATATGTTATTTGTGATTGATCCAGTATGACTGATTGTGATTGGCTACCATCGACAACAACAATCTGACAAAAGCTTTCATATAGTTCAATGGTAATTTATAAATATTTGATAATAGGTACCTGTTGAGAAGGAAATTGTTGGTGATGATCATCAGCTATTACATACTGTACTGTCTGATTACCTTCAATGTTATAAAACTGATTTAGTTCATCTGGTTTTTGCTCCTCATGGCCAAGAAATTGTGCCATACTTCACCTAAACTTTAATTTTAAAAAATCATCGCACAAAATCCCTGTGTGTTTTGATTTATAATTTCGACAACTGACTATCTAAAATAACTTTAACAACATTGGCTTAAGTACCTTTATATGGTGTTTATGTAATCAACTGGTACCGTTTTAAACAATCACTAAGATTTTTAATATAAAACTGTGGCAGAATATAAAATAGCGACAGATAAATGCTTTAGAAAATGGCGTTTGATCAACAATGTTGCTACGGTACAAATTCTACTGCACAACGAGAAACACCCTAGATATCGTATATAAAAATATAAAGAAACCAAGGAAATTCCTTTAAAAAGACAATTTATACACCAACCCGTTAAAAACAATCACAATTTTCAATACGTTTCCAACACGATTCACTTACTACATATTCAATATGCACTGTTGCCAAATGTTTTCCCAAATTACATCAGGCTTCCGGGCTTTAAGCGGGAAATTCAAATCAAAAACCTTTAACCAATCAAATACTTTGCATTGATCACGTGATTTAAACGTTACTGTGGATTGGTGGAAATGTATTTATACGTTGTCATAACAACTCAAAAAGTAATTTTCCAATTGGTGACAATAAGGCGGTAATAGTTTAAATTTATAACCTAAAATTAGTGTTTTCTTCTTTTCTGGATGGCGGCTTATTGAAAATGGTGTATTTCATTAAATAATTACGTGTTAAATGAAAAGTAAAAAAAATGTCTGGGAAGGCAATTGTTCCGGACATAAAAATAGTTTAATGATATTTTAGCCTAACTTTTTATTGAGCATAACCTCAATTTTGTAAAGAAATTTTCTAAACTTGGCAACATGGTGTGAAACTTGTTGAGTATTAAAAAATTCGGGTAATACCTAATTAAAATAAATTTATTTAAAAATAAATTTATTGTGAACTTAATTAAACATATATAGTTAAATTATAAAATAATACAATAATGTAATAACAGTGAGGGGCTCTACCAAAAAATTATATTTATGAGATTATTATGGAACTTCTGCACTTTTATGACTTTTTATGGAAATCAACATAGATAAAATGATTAGTTGTAGCTTACACCTTGTAGGTACTAGGAATGGAAATGTACCATTTTTACTGAGCCCATAATTTTATATCTATCAAGCCTATAATTATAATAGTAAAAATGTAACAAAAATAATAATATTTATTCTGTTTCTCTTAGTCTAGCTAATCTTTGAGTTAATTCGTCTTGTTCCTGTGAAACTACAGTGGAGTTTGCTACACTGGTTCCAGTTGGATTTTCAGGTAATTCCATGTTAAGTTCCAAGCTAAAAAATATTAATCAGAAATTGTTATGAAACATTATGTAAAACTGAATTACCCAGCCTCATCTGCAACTTGTTGCATCAATGAGTCAACATCATTTTGTGGGATAAGGGTTGTAGTAGTTTGAGCCATGGTGTTTTCTAAAACGTCTGTCTGAACCCCTAAATCTTCAAATTGCTGCTCAAATTTGTCCATCACGCCCGAAATTTTCTCCAAGTTCATACTTCTCATAGCGGCATCCATAGCTTTAACAACACCTGCCATTGAATTTGTTACCTTTCTGGTCATAACAGCAGACTGAACTTTGCTTGCAACTGCATCTACTCTAGCTGACATTTTTAGATAGTTTATTGACTGATTTTTTTGCCTTATAGCGTTTTCTGCATGTATACGAGCCACTTCCATGTTTCCTTTTTGAATTGCTTGTTTTGTTTTTGCTTTCTCCTGTTTCTCTTCTTTTTCACATCTTTTCGAGTTTCTTTCAAGTTCCTTAACTGCAAATTTTAAATTGAATAGGTGCTCTAGAATGTTAATTAAGGAAATAACAATTAGAATATTAATCATCTTCTGTAAACAATTAGAAAAAAAGGATACTCTCCATAGCGGAGGATGACATTTCGTTGCCCATGTTTAATACAATATTATACACTATACTAAAACTAAAACTTAAATTGACTCAAAGTAATGATTGGTTTGATTTTTATTAACTTTTTATTTATTTGGAAATAACCTCCGACAAAAGTTGACGTTTATAGATATGACTCATTGATCAGTGTTGTCACATGTAAAATTTTAATTTAAACCTAAATATTTTAAAATATTATTTATTATTAATAAATATGTGGGTTTTAATAATTGTTTTTATTATTATTTAAATTATATAAATAAATTCAATAAATTCAAGAAAACGACGTGATGTTTTGCAACAAGGCATTTAATATCCATGCAATAAAATTCAGTTTGACCAACATAAACTATGGCGCGTTTTTTAAAAATACAAATATAATAAAATTATTTATTTGGTTTAAAATGATTATTATCGTCACAGTGTGATTATTGTATAGTAACGTTATAGTATATAGTATTATATAGTAATAATTTGTTTAATTACCATATTGGCGTCCACTACTTGCCATTTTCTTCGAATTTGCTGAATGACGGTTTGTAACGTTTTTCTGTCAAATTTCATTTTAAATTCTTTTGTAGAATTTTGACAGATTGGTCAATTTTTTGATAATTTGTTTTACTTACTAAATTGCGTGTTTGGAATCCAAACTCTTGATTGAACGTTCGATAAATATATCTATTTTGTATATTAATAAGCCTTTGTACCAGGCACGTAAGAGCGACATCGATAAAACTTTAGATTCAACTAACAAAAATTGTTTGACGAAACCGATGGCAGAGAGCAAAACCGCGATGGCTAGCGACTCAGAGACATACGCTACCGTCACCAATGACCCAAAGAACGTCCAAGAATTAACAATATATGTAAGTTCTAACCTTTTAGTTAGTAGTAGTTGTAGTAGTAGTAACAGAGTTGTCTTTGGCAGTAGTACATACCAGGTGCTTTCTAAATGGCCGTTGTGAGCACCCAAGGCAGCCCCAACTCTACAATGAGTGTGAAAAACAATAGTAATGGGAACGCAAACTTAAAACAGTTGTTTTGGAAAGCACCGTTGCCTATTAAGCAAAGTTTTGATTCCTTTTTATCTTGCTCAATGACGAGCTATTCTAAAGTTGCCAAATACCTTTCTAGTCTAGTAACTCTATCTAGTCAATCTTTTTAGGTTCAAGGGCTTCTACAAAATATCCAAGACAAATTCCAAAATATGTCTGATCAAATTTTAACAAGAATAGACGAAATGGGCAATAGAATTGATGATTTAGAGAAGAATATTGGGGATTTAATGACACAGGCAGGAGTCGAAGGTAGCATTCAGGAAAAATGACTTCACAAAAGAAGTCACCCATCTCAGTCATGATAGTCCTTTAACTTATTCAAGAAACACTGTAAAGTAATTCTTATGATTAGGACTTTAATGACATGATACATCTTACTGTAAACATATGTATTTGTAGGTATTAATTTACAATAGAAAAAAATCAATGTTAAAAAAAACAATATGAACTTGTATAAAGACATTTTATGTATAATACAATACAAAGGTTATACATAATTTCATCAACAAATATCATCAAAATAATTTGTATTGTATACATACACTCTACTGGTAGAAATTTTAAAATAAATATTAAGGCTAATTTATTTTGTAAACCTTTTATTTCAATAAAAAAACAACTTATTTATATTGTCTGTTAACTAAAATTGGTGAGCTTTTATCTTCAGTATCAGTAAGATTTTCTTCACTAACTTCATCATCACTATCTGTAACACTGTGTTTGATGGAATCCAGTGTTTCTTCGCTCTTTGAGAATTTTTTGGGTAAGTTATTTTTAGTTTCTTTTTTGTTTTGAGAAAAAATTGCCCCAAGCGAACCAAATGTGTTAGTTGATCTAAATAAAGATGTTCTTGATGTAGACTGAATGTTTTCTGCCATTCGTAAAGTTTGTTTGAACTCCTACAAAAAGTTGTGTATTTACAAAAAAAATTGTTTAATTAATTTAATATTTTTTTACTTCAAAGTCTGCTTCTTCATCAATGGAATTTATATCATTATAGGCCTTAGTTAATATTTCCAAAGCCTTAGCATGATATCCCATTTCAGTGCTTAAAAAATCTAAGAAAATAGATTTTATATCGTGATTTTTTTGCCTTTCAAACGTTATTACTTTTTCTTCCAAATTATGGATGCTTTTTGAAACTACAGTGCTGGCTTTTACCAATTCTGTTTCCGCCTGAATCTTAAAATAAAATGTTGTTGCAACATGGTACAATTTTTGATAAAATAATAAATTGTTTACTGTACATTACCACCTTTCTCTATTTTAAGGGTCGGGGGTAACTTTGGATTTTTAATTGGGATGATGTACTTTTTTTTTAAATTTGAATCTACGAAAAATACTTTGTGAATTTTTTTTGATTTGCGCTTATATTTATTTATAAGATTCTAAAAAATATTAACAATTAAATTTTAACTCTCTGTCATGTCTGAGAAATTCTTCAAAAGTCCCCCTTTAACTTCCAAACACTTTCTCACTCTTTTTCTAAATGAATTTTGTACACTTGATAAATAATTTAAATTATTAAATTATTTGTTAGTATTTTATAATTTAATTGCGGAAGCGCAAAACAATTTTTTTTGCACACATATCCCCCGCCCCTCAATATAGGGGAAGGGGGTAGATGTCAAAAATATGTTTAAATATGTCCCCCCACCATCGATTTTTTTTTTGTAAAGTATATCCAAAATATTGTTTGGGGTGGAAAATTAGGAAGTCTATTATCGCAATTTTAGATTTTTTTTCCTGAGCGAGTTTTTGTCTCAGAACTCCCAAACCATTGAGTTTAACAAAATTGACTTTAGAATATTTTTTGAAGAAAATTGAATGTTCTACAAAAAATGTTTGATTGGAATTTCCCGTCAGATGAACCGTTTTCTTACAATCATGCCTTAAAAATTGGTATAGTTTTACAATTTGATATTTTAACTTTGGAATTTTGTAATTCATGTAAAAATCAGTACCCGGAAAAAAAACGATAGATATATTCTTATGGGAAATCAAATGCTCTACAAAACATAACATGTTTGGCTAAATTTACTCAATTAAAAGTTATTCAAGGTTAAATTTGAAGTCAAAACGAAATTCTTGTTTCTTCCGCTCTAGATTTTTTTTGGGCCAGTTAAAAACGAATTTTATCTTTTATCAATGATAATTATCTATATTATAATCTTTATGTTTATTGATAAAATTACTGAAGATTAAAAAAAAATAACACATTTGAATTTTTTCGCTTTAAGAAGTTACCTATTTAATCGTTTAAATAATAACAATCATGTTTTTTTATTGGAAATTGTTAATTAATTATATAATACACATTTAAAAAGAAAAAATGAAATTTTTATTCATAAAACAATAAATCTACAGAGAAAAAAAAAAACAAGAATTTCGTTTTTATTTCAACTTTGAATAACTTTTGATTGAGTGATTTTAGCCAAAAATGTTAAGAGACTTTTTTTGTAGAGCATTTGATTTCCCATAAGAATATTCATAGTTTTTTCCGGGTACTGATTTTTACATAATTTACAAAATTCCAAAGTTAAAAGATAAAAATGTAAAACTATACTAATTTTTAAGGCATGATTGTAAGAAAACGGTTCATCTGACGGGAAATTCCAATCAAACCTTTTTTGTAAAGCATTCAATTTTCTTCAAAAAATCAATTTTGTTAAACTCAATTAATGGTTTAAACCAATTGGGAGTTTTGAGACAAAAACTCGCTCAGGAATAATAAATTAAAATTGCGATGATAGACCTCTTAATATTAATATTATGGACTCAAACTTTCACAATAATTTTTTTTGTCACCCCAAACCATATTTTCGAAATACTTTACAAAAAAAAGTCGATTTTTTTGGCCCAGTCCACTATACTATTTTTGCATAATCTTATAAAATCCTGAAGGGAATTAAAAGAAAAGATTATCAATGTTGTGGTCAATATGGTAAATTGCTCATTCTACATATTGAGGTGCGTTCACGGTCATTACTCTTACGATAGGTTGTCTATTTCTTGGATTTCTTTCTCTGATTCGGTCCAATTGATTTTTTCTTGTAACTTCCTTGTCCCTGGCTGAGTAAATGTCCTTAACTTCATTTTTAACATGTTTACAAATGTGTTCATATTTAGCAAATTCTGCAACAACTTTGTTATCGATTAACTGAACTCGTGCGTCACCATAATCGGCGATGTTGGAAAAAGAGTCAGCAAAATTTTCCAGACCAACGGCCAGTGATTTGTTAATGTTTTCGTTTGTGGAGTAGTTTAAGGCAACTTTTGCCACTTCATCGTGTTTATCGCGTAACCTGGCCACTTTCCGCGAATAAGCAGCTAAAATGTTGCATAAATCGGAAATGTGTTTTTCCGATGCGATAATGTGGTCTTGAATAAATTTTGCTTCATTTTCGCTGAAAAGAGATCGATAAGAATTTATTCCATAATTTAACGATTTATAAATGGTTATAAGGCAAAGTTTGGACCTCTTATCTATTATAATAAATGAAATAAACACTTGGGATAAATAAAATAAACACTTGGGATAAATAAAATAATCACGATTACATTAATTGTTTATTTCCTTCTCAAATAATTCCTATCATAAATATTTTTTTATATAAAGATGATACTTTAAAATAGTGTAAAATGTGTTTATTCTGGCGCACAAAATATTAAGTATCTTTTATTAAAATTGAAAAATGCAATGAGCTCAGAAAGAACAATTTTTATACTACAATAATAAAACGGATTTACCTACAATACCTAATTATTCTGTATATTAAAATAGCTTAAATATTTACACTCTCATATGGATGTGATTTGATTTAGAAATAATGTTATATAAAAAATATGGTATATTTACCAGTTGGTTTTTGCACGAAAAGAGTTTAACATTTTGCTGTACTGAAATGTCAAGATGTTTTTGAATACAAACAATACAAGCAGGTGTGTTAAGTATAAACAGTTACCAACTAAATAAAATAAATCAATACATGCAACACAATTTTATTATAAAAATACAGAATACAATAATCAATTAATTATAATTCTTTATAAAAATACTTATGAACAATGAAAAATCCATAGTTATGAGAATTAGGTGCAAATATTGCTATTCCACAACAGCAAAAGAACTACCAGTACAAGCAAAAGCCAACTTAACTTTATGATTAGATAACACTTGTGTAGGCTTCATAACATCCTTTTTATCACCAGTGCCACAGCTTCCGTGTTCGTTCCATCCCCACGCCAAGAGTTTGCCCTCTTTGGTAACCGCCAAGTTGTGTTCAGATCCTAGACTTAGCTGAGCAATTTCAGTGAGATCTGGGACTTTTTCAGGCTTGTGGAGCTCCTCTCTGCTTGTCCCCAACTGGCCGTAACTGTTCCTTCCCCAAGTATAAACTTCGCCGTTCTTGGTCAAAGCTGCACTGTGAGTCCAACCAGCATACACCTTTTCCAAGCTTTCATCCCTGAAAACCTCCATGGGGACAAAACTGTTGGAAACGTTGTTGCTGATTCCAAGCTGCCCGTATTTGTTCTCCCCCCAGCTCATAACAGTACCGTCTTCTTTGAGCATCACCGTATGGTGCTGCCCACTGGCGCAGCTTATGACATCCTCAATTTCAGGGACCTTGGATATACTTAAGTAGTTGTTGTCGTCAAAGTTGTCCCCCAAACCCAACTGGCCCTTAGCTCCGGTACCGGCGACCAAAAGACCTCCGTCTTTTGTTATCATGGCAGAATGACGAAGCCCGCAACTGACATGCTTGAAACCGGTGGCAAGTTTCTGTGAAACCTGCAGCCTAGAGGGAATACCTGTGCAAGTAATGCTCTTCGACAAACCTAACTGGGTGTTTCCATTGTTACCCCATACGAATTGCTTCCCGCAGTCGGATATTGCGGCACTGAAATCCCAGCCGCAAGATATCTGGACAATCTTGAAGCCCTTCAGAATTTCGATCTGCGAAAATTTGAGAGTGTCGTCGGACAATCCCAACTGGCCCTTGGAGTTGTAGCCGCAACAGTACACATATCCATTGTTATCAAGAATGAGTGTATGAACAGCTCCCCCGGCTATAGACACGATATTTTCGGCTTTTAAGTCAGTATCACTCAGTTTCACCTTTTTAGGTTCAATCTCCTCTTCGGATTTATGTCCCAGTCCTAATTGGCCATAACTGTTAGCACCCTGAACAAATAGAGAAATACATTCACTTAAATTTTATCGCAAATCAATTTATCCCTTACCCAAGCATATAAAGTCATGATGAAATAAGTATTTCGAATAAAAATCCGTTTTTGCGATGTTAATTTCTCGGATCTTAAAACACGCGTCCAGCCGTCTAAAAAAAGTAAGGTTAAGAAACCACTCGTCGAAAGTTGTCAAGTCTGTCAAAAATACTTTACTTGTTAATTTATTTTGCTTTGATGTCTACTTCTCTGTTATCAGCGTTTAATTACCGGCTCATCAAGGTATAATAGGTTATATTTAAACTAACGAAAATGGAAAATTCGAATTTATTTCTCGGCAAATTTTGACAGCTGTCCGTTGAAAACCTAACCTCAAACATTTAAACCTCAACTTTGTGAATTTCAGTGTGAAAATGGAAATTCTGGATTATAAACTAGATTTAAAAGTAATGAAACAAGATTTGCTAAGAGGAATTTACGAGTGTTCTCAACGGGGCCTTCTTCATAGTGTTAAATGGTTATCAGAAATAAATCATGCACTCTCTCATGTAAAGTTATTCCCTGAGGAATATCCCCATTTTGTGCAAGACTTGGAAGATGAAATGGAAGCCTATCTGATGTCCAAGTCATATTTTGACTTAAAAGAATACGACAGAGCAGCATTCTTTGTTAAAGACTGCAGTAAATCAAAGACAAGGTTTATTTATTTTTACTCTCGCTATTTATCTATAGAGAAAAAGAAATTGGACAATATGACAGACACACATTGTCCACCTGATCCTACGAAGAATGAGGAAATGAGAGACTTATGTAGTGAGCTAAAACAAGATTTTTATGATGATAAATTGGATGCTTTCTGCTCATATTTATATGGAGTTATTTTAAAGAAATTGGATTTACAATCTTTAGCAATTGAGGCCTATATTAAAGCAGTAAATACTGAGCCTATGCTCTGGTGTGCTTGGTTTGAGTTGGGAAAGTTAATACCTTTATCACCAGAAAAAAATAACTTAAATTCCATAAAACTCCCTAATCATTGGATTAAGCAGTTTTTCTTGGGTCATGCCTACTTGGAACAATTAAATAACGATGAATCGTTGCAAATTTATTCAAATTTAATGGCCCAGCAGCTGGAGAATTCCACATACTTAATGGCGCAGATTGCTTTGGGACATCATAATCGTAGAGGTAAAATCAGCTTGTTTTAATGCGGTTTATTTAAATTATTAACAAAACAATTATTTCCTAACTGAATATTCTGACCTATGCTAGTATTAGGCATAAAGTTTAAATTTGCAGGGTTTATTATAGAAATATTGTTGTAATTCATATTGTTATTTAACAAGCTAACCGTTGGAATGTTCATTAACATTTCTTGCTTTTTGTCCATTTCTATTTTCTCTAGGTTTTTAACTTGTATGAACAATGCTCGCCCCAAGTATCCAAATTCTTTGATGTAGGATAATCCTCCATCATTCACATTATGCGATTTTAATAAAATTGGAGCAACAATGTTAAGAATAACATCTCTAACATGTTTAGCCTCTGATAAACACTGTTTATCTTCGTAATAAATAATTTTTTTCTCCAATAATAGGTACACTCTGTTGCTTAAGAGTAGTATGTTAGGGAACATGTATGATTTTATGATATCCTCTCCCAAGCTGCCTAGGCCTTTTAGGGCTCCATACACAGTAGTTAAAGGCTTATTTACATCTTTTATTGCTGACAAATAAATATTTATAACTCTTTGTGTTATATTATTTAGTTTTGTGTTATGTAAATGGCATATCATAGCCACTACGTAAGCGGAAAAGTCTCGTAAGGTCCAGTGATTATCATAGTAATATTTGCTAATCTTTCTTGCTAGGGCACATGATAATATTGCGGGTAAAACATCGTGTAAATACTCCAATAAATTAACATAGGGGTTTGTTAATAAACTTTTGGTCATTCTTACTGAATAAATTAGTAAAATTAAATCGTTAAAAACAATGTTAAGTTCTATGGAGTCTCTTATAAAAACGCATAAATACGGGACAAGGAACTTCACGTTGTATTCAGTGGAAACTATTTTCAAGGCTTTGTTCCGTATTTGTTCGTTATACCCGAATACTCCTTCCGTAATCTTGATAAAAAACGTTTGCTCTTCAACTGAAAGTTCATGATAGTCCGGATACATTTTCAATAATATTATGTCCGACTTTGGAGTCAATTTTTTCGGGGGTTTAAAACTTGATTTTGGGTTTTTGGATTCTTGTTTGTATTTTTCCAGTTCTTTTTCAAACTCAGTTTTTGGTTTTACTTCAGAAGTTGAATGTTCTTCACAAGGAATGCTGACTTCTAGTTCATTCATTTTATGTCAAAAATATTAGTATCAAGCAGCTTAGGAATTTATCTCCTAGGAAACAGAAATAATGTATGGTTTGACACTTTGACCATTGTGTATATAAATCTAGGATATAAATGTCGCTCTAAAATGAAGCACCCTATTATACATAAACAACACATACAAAGTACAAAAAGCAAAGTATCTATATCTATAGGCTTAACCTATACTGCTCTCTAAATTTTAGTGACCATGTGAACAAACTAAAAGCCAAAATATCAACAATAAGCTATCATCTTGAAAGAAACTCCAAGTTATTAAACAATAAAATATCTTGTATATAAGGCTTATACAGGGTGGCCCATCGAAAACGTACCGAAAGGCATTAAGCTTAATTTTCATGTATCCGTTTGTCCGTCAGTCCGTTCATCCGGGAGCGCTCTTATTGGTCCAATTATAGTTCGAAAATTATGACATTTTATCGGTCCGTCAAGTTTCAACTTCGTACGTCTGACAGAGAAAGGTTAAATAATTTTAACTCATCCGTCACTACACATCTGTTTTTGACGCCTAACGTTATTTTAAGATAATTTATTTTCAAATATTTTTATATTTTTTCAATAAGATTGTAAAACGGAAATATTACGTTCGTTATGTGAAAAATGTTTTACTGTTAAGTTTTTATTTAATCAGAATAACAGAAAAAAAGAAAGGACAAACAAAAAAAAATTAAAACTAGAACCAAAAGGACCTGCTTTTTTAAAACTATACATTTTTATGTATATTAGGGCTAGTATATTCTTTTTATAAGGTATATAGACCAGTGCAGAAGCCTTTAAAAATGGTAAAAAGAGAAAAAAAATAACAGTAGGATGAAACCCATTGGAAAAGGAGGGGAATATAATAAAAATTAAAGAAAAAATAAATTACGGGCGATCTGAGTTCGGGAAGTGGAAGGGGGGGGGTTTAAGGGTAAAAAATGGTTTATCTCGATTTTTGGCAAAACTACAAGTCCTATGGAAAAAAGTTAAATGTCAAAGTTGTAGGTAATAAAAAGATCTACAACTTCTTCTTCTTCTTCTTCTTAATTCTGAGCCTCTGCCCAGATGTTTGGCCTTTAGCTTACTTAAATGCTATTTGGCCAGCACATTATGTTTTCAGTTTTTTCAAGGATCAAGGGACTCAATTAAGACTCTTAATTTAAGAGTTGACTCATCCCTTGATTCATTTTTTCTTCAAATATATACCTAGGTGTATTTTTCTTTTTTGCTTAAATGTGTTTTAAAGGGTGTTAGTACCAAAGGTGTTCTTTGGTTAGTACAGACGAATTTTACAAACAAAGGTCAGACTTTTCACGTTTGGGGGCAGCGGCCAAACGACTTTCACAACCCAATGGATGCTACCTCGGTTTAGGAACCCGGGATGTGTTTTTGGAAGGATCTGTAAATTATAAAGAAAATATTATAATATTATTTTGTTGTGGTCTATGAATTTTATTAGAGTTTTGATATTTTTGCGATTTAAATTTCTCAGTATAAGTTGCAGGTTTGTTGGTAGTTCTAGTCCATTTTGTCCCAATTCAAAGTATATGTTGCCATTTATTGGGCATTCTAATATAAGGTGACCAACTGTGTAAAGGGGAAAACCAGAACAGCGGTGGCCTGTACGAATTTTTTTTAAAAAAAAAGGTGTTGCCCTATTTTTGCCTGTTTTGTGTGTTAAGTTATTATTATTTACTCTTAATTGAGTTAAAAAAACACAAATTTCATAATAGTTATTTTATATATGGGTCGTTCCACGCCCTATTGGCCACTTTTGAACCCGACCCTTTCGATTTGGCCAAAATTATGTTATATTTTTTCACCCCACTAATAATTTTTCTTAGAATGTTTTAGTTTATTTTACCCGACCAAAGACATGTTAAAAATTTTTCAAAAAAATGTCTTTTTTCCCAAATTTTTTTGTATTTTTTCTGAAAAGTTAAAACAAAAAAAACGCCCCATTTAGTCAAATTTTGACAAAGTTTTGTGTATTTTAAAAGAAAATTGGCAATTTTTTTGAAAATTCGTAACTTTTTTTTGGTTGGGTAAATATATTGGAAAAATTCTGAGAAACTTTTTTAGTGAAGTAGAAAAAAATTTAAAAAGTTCAGTCAAATCGAAAGAAGTTGGGTCAAAAGTGGTCGATTTGGCGTGGAATTCCCCATATATATATTTATAAATTAACTATTAAAATTTGTGTTTTTAGCCTAGTTATTTTTAGATATTAGGTATACCTAATAAATTAATATGGATTTATAAAAATTGGAAGTTTATTTTATATGGTAAGCTAAATCAGAACAGACCAGAACCAAAATAGGAAAATCAGAACCTTTACTACCTTCGATTTCCAGTCAGAATGAAGACCTCAAAAACAGTATAGTTCTGATTAAATCAGAACAGTTGGTCACCTTATTCTAATATTATGTGTGTTAAGTCGCCTACCTGTCCGCATTCGCAGTAGGGATTTTCCAGTATACCTATTCTATGTAGGTGTGCATTTGTAAGGCAGTGTCCTGTTCTTAGGCGTATAATAGTTGTTAAGTGCCTTCGGTTTTGTATCTTATTGGTGTAGAACCACGGCTTTTTAGGAAATTCATTTGTTATACCTCCATACCATCTTCCTGTTCTAGTAAGGGTTTCTAGCCATTTTTTATTGTACGTTTTGTAAAGCTCTTTTCTTATTTCAGGTATTATTTCTGTTATTTCTGGTTGAAAATTTCAAGGGACATTGAGGTTTACTCCAATATTCGCCAGTTGGTCTGCAACTATATTTCCTTGAATTTCGTCCTGTCCTGGTACCCATGCAATTATAAATTCGAACTCGTTTTCTATGGCTGATATAATGAATCTTTTGGTGGCAATTGATATATATTGGTCCTTTGATGTATATTTATTATTCATTAATTTTTCAAGGGCGCTGGTAGAGTCTGTTAAAATTAAATTATTTTTTATATTTTTTTCGATTGCAATTTCTACTCCCTTACAAATTGCGGCCATTTCCGCGGTACATATCTGAAGATGGTCCGCTAGCCTTGCCGAAAATTGAATATTGTTCTCAGGCATATATATTCCAATACCCGTTTTATAATTAATTTTTGACGCGTCTGTATATATGATATTATATTTTTTTGTTTTAAATGTTTCTAGTTCCGTTAAAAAATTTATTTTATTGTCAATGTTTTTTTTTCCTAAGTTTAGATTTTTACTTTTGATTTGGGCAAACTGATAACAATATTCAATCTCAAAGCAGGGTGCCAGATCACTTCTTCTAATTTGATTAGTATATTTGTTAAATAGGTCAGCTACTTGGATGATGAATGGTTGTTCTTTTGACTTCCAATAAATTGCTGGCTTTGAGCATTCTATCTTTAGACTTGCCATGATGGGGATTAAAGGATGGGATTTAAATTTAATTATTTTTGAAAGAAATTTTACGGTTAACCATTTTGTTCTTTCGGTTAATGGGAGTTCTGCACATTCAGCCAATAAAGCGTTAATAGGGGTAGTTTTCATAGTACCTGTAATCGTTCTTAATGCTTTATTTTGGGTGGAATTTAGCCTGCTTTTCAGGCTTTTGTGTATGGGACTCAGCAAAATGGATCCGTAATCTAGGTGTGATCTAACTAGCCCATTATAAATCATTAATAAAATTTTGGGGTCCGCTCCCCAGTGTACCCTTGATACTGCTCTCATTATGTTAATGCCCTGATTGGCCCTAGCGACCATTACCGATACCTGCTTATTCCAATTAAGAAATTCGTTAAATATAATTCCCAAATACCTGATACTGTCTCGCTGTTTAATTTGATTATTTCCTATTTTTATTATTGGAGGTGTTTGTTTATTTTTTCTTTTTTTAAACCATATGAACTCTGTTTTTTCTGATGATATTGAAAATTTGTGTTTAGTGAACCAAGAGTTCATTTTTGTTAGGGTCTCTTTGATGGTTTGCGTCATTTTTTGAATGTTATTACCCCTGGTAAAAAGGACTAGATCGTCAGCATAAGACAATAGGCAGGTATCATTAGGAGTTACATTAAATAGTGTGTGGATATATATGTTAAATAATAGAGGGCTCAATGGTGATCCCTGGGCCAGACCATTCCCGACCAGTGTTGGGCCATAAATTTGGTTATGGCGATCTTTAATAGACAAATTTCTATTTGAAAGAATATTATATATTAGGTTGGAATATTTATGCGGTATTTTAAGTTTTATTAGGTAATTATAAAGGATTGAAATGTTAACATTATCATATGCGGCTTTTAGGTCTATAAATACTGCTAATATGGTTTCGCCCATGCTAAAAGCTAGGTGTATGTTAGTTGTAAGATATACTAGATTTTCTATTGTGCCCATGCCCTTTCGAAATCCTGTTTGGAATTTGGACAGCGTATGAGAGTTTTCAATGGACCATTCTATTCTGTTTTTTATGATTATTTCTAGTGTTTTTAAAAAGCATGATGCGAGAACTATAGGTCGATAATTGTTTGTATCCGGTTGTTTATTAGGTTTAAGTATTGCTATCACCATGTACTCCCTCCACTGTTCAGGGATGGTCTGGGTTTTAAGACATTCGTTAAGAATATTGCAAAAAATTTGTGTGGCTTTTTCAGGTAGGTTATTCAGCATTGAGTATGAGACCTCGTCCATTCCGGTTGCTGAATCCTTTTTATATTTGATGGCAAATTTTAGTTCTTCCGTGGTAATTGGTGGGGTCTGAATGTCGTTCATCACTAAACTATGGTTAGGGTTTATGTCTATAATGTTTAGTTTTTTTAAAATTTCGGGTGCAATTTCTTCATTTGGAAGTAGGTTTTTAAAATCACTATGATTATTTGAGAATTTTTTTAGTGTTTTCCACACATAGGTAATATTCGACTCGCGGTTAAGGGATGAACAAAATAGTTTAAATTTTTCTTTTTTCTTCTTTTTTAGTAATTTTCTGCATTTTGCAATTTCTTTTTTAGTTTTTAAGTAATTTTCTAAGCTAGGATTTAAATAAAAAAAAT